TGGAACCTATACTCACAGGTGATCCAGAAGAAGACAAAAAAACAAAACTATTTCTTCCCAACTACGGGGAAAAAAAATGTTCCCAATTCCCTAAGGCAACTGGATATTTCATGGGCTGACAATGTCTTGTGTTATTTCTTATCAATGTTAATAGCCAGTTAAATTCTGTTCACATAGGAATGTGTGCAGCATTTTTTAAACAATTAACTGAGCTGGCTAGAAACAGTTTCTAAGGGAGTCTATTTCACAGCTCTTACTGTAAAGAAGCCTTTCCGTATGTAGAGACCTCTTTTCCTCCGGACGCTAAGAATGCCCCCTTGTCCATTGCAATGACCTTAAAGTAAATAACTTTGCACCAAGTTAACCATCAGGACCACTTATGTGATCATAAACTCCCCTTAAAATGTTTTTTTCACAAGGGAGTTTCATTTCAGTTCACTTAACATTTCCTCGTAGCCAAGGTCCTCCATGCCTCTAAATCAGTTTATTTCCACTTCTCCGCACTCTCCGGTTCACAAACATCCTTTTTGAGAACTGGTGGCTAACACGAACTTCATATTCCAAATGAGGTCTTACTAATGATTTCTACAGGGGCAGCATTATGTGGAATGTAATTGGGGAGTGGCCTCAAATACAACAGGTATCAATAAATAGATTGCCAATATTATTAAAGGTTAGGGTATTACTAAGGATTAAGTCTGTGCATGAGAGGGGTGCTGGGAAAGCATGTGTATCCAGATATTGGGAATATCTATTTAGAAATCTATGAAAAGTAGCATATTTGGTAGCAACACCAGATACAGAGGTCTTGGTAGGTGGGAAACAGTTCCACCACTAGTGAGATACAATTATTAAAGTTGCCTATGCAAATAAGTGGTATGGACAGGTATTTGGCAAGGAAATTTTGCAATCCTTGAGGTGATCTTTAAAGAGAAGAGAGGGGGAATATAAAAAGACAGAAAATTAGTATGCTCACTCCTAATTGTGCATTAAAGAAAACAGAGTGCATGTGATCCAGAAGGTCACTGTCATACAGAAATTACCAGTTCTATGAATCAGAACAGAGATACCCCAAGCAAATACAGAGTATGTAGAGTGGTATAACCAACGGACCCATTTTTTCCTGCAAAGACACTAAAAAGCTTCTCTTTTAAAAGGTGGGATTCTCCTAAGCAAGTTAATTATTTGTTGCTGCGTTAGAAACACACAAAAACAAAATCTTTTTAATTTAGAGTTAAAACCTTTAACAAGAAAAAAAAAAACAAAACAAAAAAAAACACCCAAACTTTGTGCACTTAGCCATGTCTGTAAGTGGGCATATAGAGCATAGTGCCATACTATACAATTAGAGGCCATAATAAAACTGAATTTAAAATAGGTAGTAGTAGGCAGCATATCATTAGTAATGCAGATTACCATGTTACAAAACTAGAAATGCCCACAACCAAAAAGAGCAACAAAAGCAGCAAACAAGGAGCTAAAAAGTGATTTCATATGCTTATTATGTTGTGCCCAGAGTTCAGCACACCTTAAAGTGTGCTACCACAATACTAGTCGTAGGAAAAAGTGCTTGCAAACACTCCTTAGAATCTTGCACTCCGCTTGGCTGGTCTATTGACAGTCAATGTTGTCTTGTTGAATTGCCCAGGTATGCGACAGGTGTACATTCAGTACAAAGATTCTTTCAAATATTAGGAGGAATGTTCCATCTCAGTAGTCATACACTGGATTAAATTATGAAACATGAACCGAGGGAGATGTTCCCCAGTTACAAATAACACAAACCACTGAATAGCATTCACGCTACAAAAGTAAGCTGTAAATAGTCTCTATACTAATGTGGCCCTACTGGTTCTTCTGGAATGCAAGAAACTTGAACAGCTTCAGTACAAAGATTATTGTGGTAGGTTTTGATTAGTGTCGTTTCCTACATCTGCAATCCTCCAGATTTTGCCTCTCTAAACATTGCTTATAAACTTGTGCCTCACAACCTTTACCTCTTTATAGTCCAGTAATGCCATACTTCATGATTTCCATCTCATTTTCAATTGGAAATCCCATAAACACCATCTGAGGTAAGTGAAAAGTGCTCTGTGCTGCCATAGATGAGGAATTGACACCCCTCTCTCATCCTTATGAAGACTTGTATTGTGGAGGAAGAGAGGGGATGAGTCTGACTAGGTTAATTCCCGTTTTACAGAATTTTATGTAGGTAGCATTAGATCATTTGATGATCACAGGACTTTACTGCTTCCTTACAAACTTTATTATTTTTATATAGGCATTTAGGGGGTTATTCCCTAAAGAGCCAAAGGATCCAGCTTTAGCTTCGTCTAATCCTCTGTTCACTTCGGCTGCCTCTGCCCTTCAGTTCAGCCGAACTGAAGGGCTGCTGTAGGGGCTATTCACAATAGCCCCTACAGCAGCCAACCCGAACCTATATGCTTCAGCACGGCTGAGCCGTAGTGACACCCGAAGCGTGGAGAAAGGTCGGCCGAAGCCGACCGATCTCCACACAAATGACAGCTGGGCGGAGTTGTAATGACAGATGTGTCCCCAAATGACCTGGGGATGCTGATCTGTCATTAAATAACTGGGCGGAGTCGGCCGTGACGTCATGGCCATTTCTGCCCAGTTACTCATTGGCCGGGACCTGCCAGAAGACTCTGGAATGTGCCGGCCAATAGGAAACAGTTGGGCGGAGCTAGCCGTCACCGCTAGCTCCGCCCAGTTGTTTTTCTTTTGCCGGCATCGGTCAGATGCTTCATTATGCGGCAGGAATTTGTCCCGTGCGGTCGGGTCAGCGTGCGTCAATTTTTATTATTGTGAGGAGATCAGCTTAAAGTGAAATATGGAAACGTTGTTCTAGTTTTGGGTATAGTAGGAAAAAAGTGTTTAAACCTTTCCAGATTGCATGGAGGTCAACAACACACCAGATGTAGAAAAAATAGGGACATTTTTCAGGCACACCAAGTTCCCCTTCCTAAGGCGGTAGTGACCTGAGCATCCTTAGTGACCATGAAATGTCCCTCTTTTTTTATTACATTATAAATGTCCTTATCTTTGCTACACTTAGTGTGCTGGTGATATCTTTTGGTCAGATTTGGTCTGATGATGACAGCACCATCTGTTGACACCCTTAGCACTCATTTTTTGGTGAAGGTTTCTTTCCCGCTGTAAGTAGTGCAGTGGATGATCTGATTTGTGCTTCAACCATGGTTAATGGAATGGCAGTGGAAGGGAAATCCCCCAGTAACAACTGTCAAATATGGGTTTCTCCAATTTCTTCAGGGACATTTCCTCACTTCCAATGGAGGCGATTCCCCTCACTCCTTGACTCAAGAGACGCAACAGGAAGTGAAAAAAATCTCCCAACATGGACACAAACAGCAATGACAAAAGCTTTTCCCAAAAGTGCCACTTTAATTTCATGTTTTTATGAATTGGGAAGCTTAAATTGCAAATCTACATAGACAGCAAATATTGTCACCATGACGTCTCTTGAGCAAATCGAAGTATTGCTATGTTTCACTAGATTTAATGCAATTCAAAAAAAGGACTAAAATGTATAATATAAATTTTATTTTATTTACTATATGCCCCAAAGATTCTTTAAACAAACAAAAACATCAGTGCTTTGCACCAACAGTATAACTTACCTTTAGGAATGCTGGAATAAGACTTTGACCTACGGTGGAAAGTCTTTCTGTCTTCCACAGGACAGGTGTCAGTGTCCAGTGTAGCTGCACTTAGGGGCATAAGGTTTTCTTCTGATGGGGGATAATGTGGATGTCGATTCAGATTTAAGTTAAAATGAAGAGTGGAAAGATTTGGAGAAGAGAAACGTCTATCTTTTAGGGAGTTCACAGGCAAGTCCAGCTTAGATCCAGTTAAAATGACTTCTACGCACTGGTCGCATTTTACGAAAGGTGAAAGTCCCATTTCAGGATCACCATCCTCTGAGCTTGTGATGGGATCTTTATGTGAGGAAGTGGTTGGCTCCACTGCAAAGGTTATGGGAGAGTCTGACTGAGAGTTATCCCATGATGCTTTGTGTCTAGTCAATCGAACGTCATGGTGTGAAAAGGAAACTGATTGGGTGCAATCAGGATCACTATCTGAATCATCGTCGCTGCTTTCCTCCCAGTTGTCCATATCACTGTCCTGGTTATCCGTGTTCACAGTTAATGTGGATTTGACAGCGCTTGGAATTTTTAAAACAGAAGCTAGAATTTCCTTTATGGCTGTAGCACTGTCCACATATGATCCATTACTTCCTCCCAGTCCAATGACGGCAGGCCGAGGTAATTCATCTGCAGCATGAGAAAAACATGCAGTAAAGCTATAAGATTATTACTGAACTCTAAGTGTATTTCCACTTTTGCAGTCAAATTTAAATTAAAATTTAAAAAAAACAAAAAAAAACACACACACCTCTATGTGTTCCTAGTCACACGGCAGAATATTTGTTTAAAAATATTTCTTACCCTTTAGATGTTTTGTTGCAGCAGGCAACGTGGCGGCGCATCTTCACAGTGATATGTCCTCATAGAAAAACGTAGGACTGTGTTTCCCTCACTAATTTATTGAATATACAGTACAGTGGAAAAGCCAGGATTGTATTTGTTTAAACCCTCACAGCCCCTCCTAACATTACAACTAGAGGTGCACCGAAATGGAAATTTTAAAACCGAAATAAAAAATTGTCAGGCCGAAACCCACAAATGGAGGAAAAACCAAGTAGAAATTTTAACCCTTAAGAAGCCTAGCAACACCAACCCAAGTAAAAGCAATTAAAACTGCAACCATTTTTTAAATATTTTTTTTAGCTTATGCTATGTGAATGGGAACATGCAACAAATATAAAATAGCTGTTATCCCAATCTGACTGCAAAAGTGGAAATACACTTTAAAAAAAAACAAAAAAAAAACATAAGCAGGAGGACAAGTTGAAGTGATCACCACACAGCTATGTAAACTCTGCATATGTCCCGATTGCCTCTTTTTTGGTAAACAGTCCTGTCTGTACATTCACGAACAGACAGGACATAGCAAAATGGACATATAACTAAATATAGGTTAACTGAGGCAGGCAGGTCTGGATAGTATTGGTTTATGCAGCAGAGACTCAAAATTACTACAGCAAAGTCATATAATGCAACAGAATTGCAATACCTGCAGGAAACAGAATAGTGGGAATCCTAGGCATCTTTGTCAGTGGAGGATTTGGATTGACATCACTGTTTGTCTGAAAATAGAAGGGGAAAAAACATTAAAAAATATAAAAATGATAAAATACAAAAAAAAAAATAAGTATCTACCAAATGTTAGGATATATTTTTTTTAAATGTCCACTTTTTAAAGCATCTTTTAAATCAAGGGTATTTCGGGCTATGAAGTGGCAGGTGCACGTGCAGCCCGACAGCTAAGCTTGCAGGAGACACAAACAAAACCGGAAAGTATCACAGGCCAGGCAACTGCAAAACAGAGTGAAATCTGATTTGATTTCTACAATTTCCCTTTCTATAAAAAGGAAGGTGGGGAGAATGTTGGGGCATGTCAATTGTCAGTTCACTCTGCTTTTCAACCTAATCATTACAGATGAATTGGATGAGTGTTATCGGACAGAGTTTAGGAGGAATGCAGCTACAGGGATTATACTGTGTAAAAGACATTAACTGTGCTCCAATACACAGTAAAGCGACTTGTTGATCTAGCAGTATACTGAAAGCAATGGGAAATGCTAATACTCCAAAAACAGAGCTAAAAGAAAACCGTGCACACCACAAATACAAATTCTGCTATTTCCATTACTGTTACACTGTCCATATATTTAAATCAGCAGCACAGGAGTACTGGAAGTTTGCCACCAATATTATTTATGACTGTCTAGATAAACATACTTAGTCACAAGGGAAAACGAGAGAAAAATTATGAAGCCTTCCTCATTCTTCCCTGCCACAAATCTGCTCCAGACAAAAGGATAGCCGGAATCTGATTGTTTATTTTATATTCTAGTGATCTCGGCATTCTGTAAAATTGGATTAGTTGGCCATTAGAATAAAAAAAATAAAACCTATTTTTTTAACACTAATTTTACATGCCAATTTCCTGCAAAAGGTACAGCGCTAAGTGGAGATATAACTAGCCAGAGGTCTCACAGAGTGATGGGTAGCGAGACACCTGCCCCTCTTCACTTGTTACATCAGAATGCTAGGACAGAACCAGCCAGAGGTCTAAGAGTGATGGATAGCAAGACACCTGCGCATCTTTGCTCATTCACTCGAAGGATAGTTGGATAGAAGGAAGTAGGGAGAGGTCTCAGATTGATGACACTTGTCTGTCCTTACTTAGCAGCATCAGGAGGCCAGGGTCCAACCAGAACTTGTTGAAAAATCTGTTTGTGATAATGAGCACCATCACTCTCTAGTTAATTCCCACATAGCCTAACCTTCCTGAAAAAACTAAAAAGCGCTGCTTCACATGAATAGAATGAAATATTTATGTGGGGTTTTTTTGCACAAAAACAGTGAAATGTACCTTAGCGGATATATGGTTTCCAAGAGCACTGGTATGCATCTTAAATGAGCACACCATCCAAATATAGGGCGCACAGTCCTAAATCTGACTCTGACCTCCATGATGCAAACTTGTGATGTCTTGTGATGCAAACTTATGTGTTCAGCTTTCCACCAATTGTGTCACAGAGGTGATTTACCCTAAATAAGTCTATTGGTAAACTTCCTAAAACACGGGTCAGAGGTGGAAAGAGACTATTTGGAAACTTTAGAACACCATATTATAAGCTAGGACACAAGTAAAAGGTGGCCCATAGAAAGACTGTTGCCTCACTGAGAAAGACAGAGTCATCTCTATCATTCTCCAATGACTCACGTACTGCTTGAAACTGCAGGACGTGATGGAGTTCCTTCTTCCGCAAAAAAGGGATTTTTCAGAATTGTAAACCTGGTTGGTTCCATGGTTGGCTTATTGCAAATGATGCTCAAAAACTGTCACATTGCATGCTTTCACCAGGCCCTATATGAGCAGCCATAGAATTACAAATTCAAATGAGAAATGATGGCTTTGTTAGCAGATATTCGCTACCGAGAAATGTTTGCAGTAAGTTTTTTTTATCTTTATTACATAACTACTGAAGCATTTTGGCATTTAAAAAAGAAAGTAAATAAAATATATTGCACAAGGACTCACCTGTGCCACACTTGTACAAGTCTGAACTCTCTTTGTGTTGTAGCCGGTCAATGTCAAGGCGTGTACAGACATGGTTGGTAATCCATAAAAGTTGCTACCTAGAAGCATACACAAACAAAGGGACATAAATACAAAGGATCATCAACTAATGCTGAACATTTTAAAACTAAAAATACTACTAAACCTATTTTATACTTTTTGTTTTTAAACACGTGTTGTGGTTTTTTTTTTAGGTTTTTCATTCTTGACTTCAAACGCACTATACTGCAATGTCCCATGGGATTTGTAGTTTTACCACAGCTGGAGGGCCAGAGGTTCCCACCCCTGGCACAGATATTTTCCCTGCAGAAAGAATCACCTCTTATAGTGTCATCGTTCCCCCAACCAGATTTATACTGCCCACCCAAATGTAGATCCCAATGCACCAAAGTGAAAAGGAAGTAAAGCCAGACACCTGATTTTCCCAACAAGATCTGTCAGCCTTTGGGTGTCAGATTTGCCCATAAACATGAGTCAGTTACAATTCCCCGTAATACAAGGTCTCACACAAAAGCAGTTTTAATTCCGTGACATTGATGGACTTAGCCCTTCCCGCCTATATGCACACAACAAATAAACTTGCTTCTGAGGGACGGCCTTCCAGCTGCTCTACGGGCAAAAAAGGGGAAACTCCCTTTAAACAGTTTATAGAATTCAGGAGCCATGTTGATACAATTTATGTCATATGGAATATAAATAGGGAAGTGATTTGTAAAAGTGATGTTGCAGTTTTCTTACAAGAAGTTGTTTTACTAAACCTAATCCATACGTTTGTTTTTTTTCTTTTAAATTGCATGGTTGCATATCTATTGCAACTATTCAGAAGCATTATAACTTACATGCATTTGATGTGTTTCGCCTACATAGTAAAGTAATGCAGACAAGGACAATCAATCCTGTTTTGGGAAATGTTAGCAGCACAAATAAGTGAGATAAGAGCAGTGTGAAGGTGTACTGCAAGTGTCTTCAAATCACACCTGCCCCTTCATTTCCTAGGAGATCCTTCTGGACCATTTATTAATATCTGGCTGTCGGTTGAGATTTGTGGGCATCTTTAAGAAAACATATAGGGCAGAACCTATACAAAAATGGAGGCTGCAACTTCTGCAAACGCTAGTTGCCGTGCCGACCCTCTTGCTTTAATATTTTGAGTCACTGACCCAGTACAAGCAAGCGATAAACGCTTGGAGTAGTAAACTCCGTATATGCATACTTGTTCTCGGTTGGTGACTCAAAATATTGAAGTTAGAGGGTCAGCTTGACAAGCAGGCAACTAGCATTTCCTCAAGAAGAGGTCAACAACACAGCTTCAGGATTTGTGTAAAGTCAACAAGTGACACCAATTGGTGAGCTATTCCAGCATAACATCCAGCATGCAATAGCCCAAAAGTTAACTTAAAATCTATGTTCTCTGTAGCCCACTGCAACAAGAGTCCAGACAGCATCTCATAGCCTTTGTTATGTAACTTCCTCTTTGTTTTCTGTATCACCAAATCACACTAAAACTTACAAGGCAAGTTTCAATCTGACTAACAAAAGTGTTCCATTCCAGAATGGGTAAATTTGAGAAGTGGTGCTGATGGTTAGAATGTAGTATATGGGTAACAGGCGTAGGGCAGCAGAAGTGATGCTTGTGGAACACAGAAACCATTTTGGCTGATCGGATGAAGTGGTTTTGAAGGCAGAGAGGGGACAGTGAGTGGGCAGTAAATGAATGCAGCGGGGGGAAGTTAGTGAGGCAATCAGCCATTGATGTTGATTTAGCAATAAGGTGATCTGGCTATGTGCTGTGAGCTGGGATGGGGCAAGGACAGGGAAACGCTGCAACTAGAGGGGTGAATTACTGGCCAGTGAGAGATGTGCTGCAAACAGGCATGAGGCGGGCAGGAAGAAGGTGCTGTGACCTGAAGGGGAGGTAGAGGGAGCATTTTAACGTGGGGTTTAGGTGGCTGGGGTTGAATGGGGATTCTAAGCGAGTAAGGTGGCTGGGGAGAGATGTGCTGAGAGCGGGGTTGAGGTGGATGGGAGGGAGGAGTTGCAGTGACTAGAAGGTGAGGGGGAGACCAGGGGGGCTTTGCATTCACCAAGAGGGTTAGATGGATGAGGAGAGATGAATCTTCAGTGGAGCAGATGCGAGGCAAGGATGTACAGATATAGCTGGCTACTAAGCAATCCAATAATGCTAGCCAGTGGGAATCCAGCTCAACAGTGGCATCCTTCCCTGAAATGAGTGCAGGTTGTAGGTGACCCTGGTGGGCGACAGAGCTGCTGGCCAGGATAGTACGGCTATTAAGCACATGTGCCAAAGGTGAACGTAGAGGGGAAGGGTGGGATAGAGATCTGACAATCAGGGAGAGTCTGGGCCTCCTGCTGCTCTGAATAGTTTGGCTGCTGAGCACTCTCAATGGGATTAGTGTGCAAGGGATCCGGGGGGGGGATGGGGAGATGAGTGCAAACAAGAAACATAGTACCTGTGCTTGTTTCTATTTTGGATTAGGTCTATAGAGTTGACTGACTAAGATCACCAGTGGTGAGCTCCTCTCAACAAATTTCTCTAATTTATCGGTTTTGTCCCCTCCACTAGGTCCCAACTAGCTGCAGCCTTTGGTAAAAGTAGACCAAATCAAAATTTGGAAAGAATTAGTGATGGCATGAACACAAAACCAGGTCTGAGAAACACAACCACAGATTTTAGGACTGAAATGTAAAGAAGTGTAAATGTAAAAGAACA